TAGTGAATTCTGCAGCATCTGGTGCTTAAGACAGATGGAGAAATAGTGATGCCAAAATTCAGCCTTTTCAGCTGTTCAGGGCAGTTCACAAAGAAACTAAATGTATTAAAAATAGATGATGATGATGATGATGATGGTGATGATGATGATGATGATGATGCAGGATAGACATGGGCCTCTTTATTTTTCTGTCTTAAATACTTTTGAACTTGAATCTGTGTTTATTTTGTGGCACACTATCCTGTTCTTATATGACATTAGGAAGATATTTTGTTTCAGAAAAAAATTAAGTAATCATGCAGTGCATCTTTTCCCCTGTAGGAAATGAAATTATTATAAATGTGCAGGTAGCTAATGGTTTGTACCTAACCACATGACTTGTAATAAAAAGCAGACTTTTTTACCGTATTACATGCTAGTTGTATTTCCAAATCAGGAGTCTGTTACTAATCACTCTTACCACATATCAGTGTAGCATTTCTATGTTAAAGTAGTATAGAAGATCTTTGCAGAAGTATTTTAGTATGTGTCATACAACAACATAATATTTATGTCAGCTGTGAGGAAATAATATATAATTAATTTTAAAAAATTATTTTAAAAACCGTTGTATTCTTTTCCACAGGTTGACTTAGTAACAGGTTTAGCCATTGAAGAAGCTTGTTATGCTCAGGTATGTAAATATGATTACATGAAAAAAACACAGAAAACAAGCTTTGTTGATGCCTGTTATGAAACATGCAGAAATCCAACAAAAAAATTGCTCTGTGATTTCTTCTGCAAACTTTTTGGCATTTTATTTGAATTTCCATCTATATTTTGTATATATTTTGTCTGATTTTGTAAGGAATTTAAGGGGAGAAGGTGCAGTTCAGGACAATAACACAGCCATACTAGTACTGTTAGGGTGAAGATAGTGAAGGAGTACCAGCCATACATCTAGCCAGTCATACACTACCATGCCAGTCCAAAGACTGCCTTGCTTTTGCTTTGTTTTGGTTTAACATGAAATAATACAAAGGACACTTCACTAATATGATGTCAATAATGGCATATGTGCTAGCCAATCAAAATTTGAGACAAACCTCTTTGCCAGTGAAAAATGGGAATGATATGTTTGAGATTATATATTCTTGGACTTCAAGTCAAGTTTTCATGATGGAAATAAAAGCATGAGCACTATATGCTTATTTAAGATGTGGTAATCAGATTAATAACCTTCTTCCCCCTCCCTAAAACCCAAAATGAACCAAACAAAAAAAAACCCAAGAAACCCAAGCCTCTCTTTCTCCTCGACCCATCCCCCCACCACACCCCCACAAAAAAGAAAAGAAAATGAACAAACGTCAAACCCTAGAGAATTTTTTTAACTGATCTGTTTGGAGAAAAGGTACTCCTTTCCCTCCCAAATTGTTTATCAACCTTTTGTCATGCCCTTGAAGTGTCTGATATATTCCTGTATCTGACTAGATAGTTTTAATTTTTCTGCTGTATTATAATTTTTCTGATGCATCTTGGATGCATTGAAGAACTGGGATTTGTATGAAAACATGTTTCTTGGTATTGTTTTTGGTGTCAATAATGAATTGTTATTCTGCTCATTGCAGACTATCCCAACAAAAGATAGAATTGAAGGCCTTCTTGCATTTAAGGAGAAGAGACCTCCTCGCTACAAGGGAGAATAAAAGAATCTGATGCCTTTAAAATACAGGGGGATAAAAGTACTTCTATGAGGACCATTAAGGTGCACTTTGCATCTGCACCGGGAATATCACAGTCACCAAAGTAACAGCAAATCATACAGATGTTACAACATTTTGAATGTGTCCATACTTATACAAAGCCAAGACAGAAATGTGTGTCAGGTCATGCTCATTACAGTTTCTGATGGTTGATCTGTGTATTGGCAAAGTCACAGGTTCATGCAGCATTTTAAAAATTTCACATGTATGAAACATACCATTCCACAATTGAAAAAGCTCTGTAATTCTTTACATAGACAAAATATATCTGTGATGTTAAGCATAAATCTGCTATATCATTTTATTAAAACAAAAGCAACTACTGAACACCAAAAAGAAGAAACTGTACCAAATATGCATTTAAATTATTCTGCATATCAGTAAAAATTATATTTGAGTATTCTATCAGAATATCTATATTATTAATAAAGCTGGGGGAAGTGAAAAGGATTATAATTCAGAAAATGTTAAGCTTTATTTATCTTACTTACTAAGCAACATGAAATTCACTTTAGCACTTAATGGTCTCGTTTTGATAAAGTTGTTGCCGTTATATTAATTTAATTGTATTAAATGATGACATTTTCGAGGCCAGCCTTTAATTATACATTCTTGTATGTTAAACCTGTCTTTGTCCTTCTTTTTTCCAACATATCATCTGATCAGCACTGTAATGGAATTTTATTTCACTCGTCGCAGTTATTTTAAATTTTTGATGATTGTATTAAAGATGGCTGTGCGGGGATATGACCAATGTGCTGTAATAGAACCTAGAATTATCTTAATCTTCAGAATATTCCTTTTGCAAGTTTTATGAATGTATATTTATATACAACAGGGATGATGTTAAAAGGTTCTTTATTTTGTGGTGGCCTCAGAGTTCTTTTCATACATTGCAAGAGAAATGCAGTAGGTTTTAAGGTAAGAAAACTTGTGATTCATACTGTGTATTTGCAGTGGACACAGCATATACAGAAAATGTCTGGAAATAACCTTGTAGAAAGTATTTTTGTTAATTTGACTGGAAAATAAACATGGCTTAGCAGTCCAAGGCTGTCTTTTTATATGCAAACAAAATTATTCATGCTGGGTTATCATTGGCTCATGAAACTTGTGCATGCTCTGCTGTTTCTGCAACATTAGCTATGGTCACTGTCCATATCTATGATGATAAAGAATCTCATCAACATGAAATGACAAGAACTCATTTAAATTCATATTTAGACTTATCATTACATGTAAATTGATTATAACCAGTAGAGCTCACATTTTGTTGACTGGTAAACTTGCTGAGTCGATCATTTCTTGCACAATAATTTGCAAATAAAGTACTGGTACTTGTTTTGATAGTTATATAAAGCCTAGAGGGTCATTTTCTCATGTTTTTGAAATTCTAACATGTCATTTTCATTTTTACTGACTACAAAATAATTATGTTAATAGGAAAAAAATATTAAGCATATGCAGACGGGTTTCGGTTGCATAACTTTGATATACAGTCTGGCTATTGAGCTGCCTCTGTTTCTACCAAGCGCTGATTAAGTAGCTTCTGTGAATGTCTATTTAAAAATATCTAACAACTTTAAATACTGTGGCATATGACTGTGTAGATTTATGCCTTTAACTAGTAGTTTTGATCTCAGAAAATAGTTTTGCTGTCACAGTGGTCTCTGTATTCCTTTTCTCAGGAGAAGATAGTGTCATATCATAGCAATTTCAGTTCCTTCTTAGAAGTCAACAATTGGAATATTATTACAAAGTGAGTATCAGTAGGACAGTTTTTAAAGGTACTTTGGAATGATGTTGAAGTCATTCTGGAGGAAAAATATTTTAGCAAAAGATATGGTAGTCACTTACTGTTTCATTTATTAAGTGATGTGTTTTAATGGCGTCAGTGCTCATAATTAGTTGTAGTATTAGAACTCTGCTTCAATGAGAGGGTTATTTGTAACAAAAATGCTCTTATAAAGGCTGGTTTTTCCTTATGAAAGGTATGATCTGGCAAATCTTCCTTCAAACACTTAGGCTCAACTCTTTCAATTCCTGGTAAGGCCATGCTTTTCTCCACAATGGCTCATGGATGAGTGAGCCCTGGTCTCTGCTGGTTTTCTGAAAGATTGTCTCCTGGTCCCTAGACATAAGCAGCTTTTTCTTCTCCTCCTGCTGAGCTCAAGTGAATAGTGAGTTTTTCTGCACTCCAGTGAGCTGGATATTGAAAAGTTATAACACAGGTAGGTCCATTATCCATTATTAGTTATCAGCAGATAGCTTCTCAACATTTGTATGTTCCACTTACTGGATTGCCTAGAAATTCTCAGTTTCATGAAGAAATTAATGTGTGACTTTATATAACACATACAATTTTAGCTTTTAATGTAGCACGCTGTTTATATTTTCAACAGTACTGAAGTAACTCACATTCTTAGTAGCTTTACTAAATTTCTGGATAAAATTTTCATGATTGTCTGCGTGGCTGTTGTCAGTTCAATGCTTTTGAGTAGCTCATGTGTAATGAAAAAAAGGTGTTTTATTTATTCTAAGATTATGTAATTAAGTGTTAAGTGTTTTTGGAGATGTTTTCAATGGAACCTTTTTATGGCATTTGCAGTCATTGCTGCCCAGTTATTTTTGAAATTCTGTCCATCTATGTGAAATTAGTCATAGTTCTCCATCAAGGTTCATGTCAATGCTTTTCTAGAACTGCTTTTAACTATGCATTTAGAGTAGTAAACGTTAGGATCATTCTCAACTGCTGCATATTTTACTCAGTCATTGCTCTTTCATGCATTTAATCATAGTCACATTTGTTGAAGAGATCACCACAGGAGAAGGCAAAATATTATGCTACTCAGAATCTGGTTTTCAGAGACTTAGGGAGTAAAAGTAAGGGGTTTTAGCACTAGTGTCACTTCATATACCAAACCCAACTCATAGATGCAATGTGAAGAGTAGCTGAAATCTTAATTTATCACTGCATAGTCTTTACTTATGCCTTTTTCATGCAAGAAAATCCCTGAATAGATGTTTGCTGAGATTACAGAGGCAATTTTTTGCAGATTTAAAAAATGTACTTTAAAAAAATTGTTGTTCATTTGAGTGGTGTGCATTGAACAAGATGTGCTTTCATGTGTCATTTGTGGAATTTTAGCCTTGCTCTTGAACCTAAAGGCACTGCTGAAAAGCTATAGGGCTGCATTGTCTACTGAGGCTGATACAGTCTGTGTACTTAAGCTGTGATAAAGTTCGTGATGATGTGGTTAAAATGTTCTTTTTCTGCACACTTTTAGACAGAGAGCTGTCTCCGAATATGAGAAGAAGAAAAATGTCAATCAGATAAACCAAAAGAAGAATTGTTTTCAGCTAAAGGTAATAAAATTTCTCTTGTCTACTTTAGGGGATTAGAATGACTTTTTTTTCTATTTGTGCCTTTTTTCCTGCTGGCTTTTCTTTCTTCTAAATCTCAGACATGAATGTGCAGGGAGCACTTTTGAAACTTTCTATGTGTTCTTTTCACTTTAAGAACATTAGTACTTTTTAAGCAAAGTTAGTAGAATTTAAAAAGTTTCCCTGTAAGGTATTTGAAAGATGTAATCAGAAATTACTGAGCTGCCACTAAAGATTAGATTATATGCCCTTTTTATTGTAGATTTAAATCATGCTCTGTTTCAGCCTTGGAGCAGAGTTGAATAGAAATTTCTGTAGTTAAGCAGAGTGTGCTGTGTTTACACAATGTGTTCATTATGCTTTATAATATATATGTATGTATACTGGCATGTCATATGCATGCATGTGTATGTGTGTATTTATGTGTGTACATGTAAATAAAATTATCCAGACTGTCAGGCAAGACCAAATCAATCCCTCAGGATGTGATACTACTATTCTGCTTCAGGAAGTTTTAAATTTGTTTGTGCAAGAGCACAACCAGCAGAACAGCCAGTGTGGGCCCTATACAGCACGTACCATGACTGCTACAAGTGGGCATACTTACCATGTGTTCTATAGCACAGAAATTTTGCTGCAGAAGCAGCAGGTGAGTAGTGAGGGTATGCATGTGTGTTACCATGTATCTGGTCATGTACATAGGGTAGTTCAAGTCTAGAATAAATGTAGTAGGAATCAAAGTGAGTTCTTAAGCTTCAACAAAGGTGTGGCATCCAGATAGCACATTCCTCCCAGTGCTATAATATCGTTTGCTCCTGCAGTTTGGAGAGGCCTGCAGCAATCATGAGTAGCTCATTAATCAGCCACTGTCACAGATTATAAGATCAGTGTCTACCCTCTTTAAATAAGTCTAGACTTAGATTTCATCTTCAGCTTTTATCTAGTAGATAATTCTTCCAATGACACTCATTCACATGGGAAGAAATATGAAGTATGTTAAAAGAATTTATTACAGAGGGTGTGAACATTCTGTGTCAAAGCTAACTCCTAGTATTCCAAAGTATTTGTTATACTTGAGTTGAAAATAGTATGTTAACCCTCTAAGGCATAGTCTGTGCATGTATGTTATAAACTCTTCAAAGTTCTGGCTAGTGAGTACTATCCTTTGATTGTAATTTCTGAAGCATCTGCTAATAAAGCTTTTGTAACAATAACAAGCTGAGAATATGGTGAAGTTTTCTTGTTGCATAATATAACCAGTTTCAGAAGAACATGGAAAGTTTGTTATTTTTGTAAGGAACTTATACATCAAATTGTTGCTTCTTTATTCTGGCAACTGCTAATTGATTTAACATTTTCCCTTAAGCATAAGGGACTTTGTGATATCATCTTTGGCTCAATTCTTTTTAGTATGTTAAAAATTCTGAAGCCAGTTGTAATTTTTTTTAAATGTGTCTCTTCCATGCAGCTTAGAAAGACAAAGTTAAAAAATATAATTGTGAGGATATAGTTGTAAAGGTCGTGTTTTTCTGACATATAAATGTTAATAATACATCTGTAGGCTTGTGTGAAAAAAGTTTGACTCTCCATCTTTTGTGTAATAAGTCTTTATTGATGGGACTGTTGTCTTCAAAGCTGAAGTATTTTTGGAAATGCATGTGAGATCTCGAGCTAGTGACCCCTGAGGGTGAATGGTTCATGTTGTCCTGTAGTTACCATCTTTTGACCACTCCATCCAAGTAGAGGTGAAAGGAGGAGAGAGCCAGGGAGCATGCTTCTAAGAAGCAGTGGGTCTTGGAAGAGTGTATACTAAATAGGTTTTGTAGGGTGGGTTCAGGCTGCATTCTTAGGTCACAGTTAATTTCAACACAGTCATTTCTATTTCTTCATGAGCAATACCGCAAACTAGATCTTTCTGTATTGGTTGGTTACAACATCTGAGTTCTGTACCCAAAAGACTAGTAGAGATTGTAACCTCCAAACATGATTCCTAGAGTGTCCTTGCAATATATGAATGGAGGTGGGAGCCACAAAAACAGCATAACAGAAAGGATTCTGTCTAAGTTACTAGATTGTAAATGAACACATGGACATGGGTTTTTTCCATTTCGGGTGGAATGAAGTTCTTGTCTCCTTTTTGGATTTTACAAATCTTATCTGACATCAGTCCTTTTTTGAAAAAGGGAAGGGGATATACTATGGCACTTCCATCTGTATAGCTGCGCAGTAGTTGAAGGACTCATGGAACAGCAAAGCAACTCAAGTTTCTTCTCTCTCCTTTCACTTAATTGACCTGAGCCAAAATTTCCTACAGTAGTGACCTGTTCACTGGATTCTTTGAAGTTACACATGATGAAATTTCTCTAATTACTTATTCTACAAGTTAATTTATTGGGATGTAGAGATAATGACATCTGCCTAATAGTTTATAGAGGTAAGGCCTGTCTTGCAGTTCCTTCATGCAGCAAGTATCACCCTGGTTTTATGATACTGTAGCAAGGATGGAGACCTGCTCACTTTCCTATTGTCCCCAGCATTTTCTTTGTTCAGACTCCTGTCTACTAAACATGAAGATCCTTAATGAGTCAGACTCCTTAGAAGATGGAGAAGGTTTAATTCATTCATCCCAAAAGGCCTTGGACACAGCACTTCCTACATGCAGTTGCCTAATACTGTCACTTCCTGATGCAAAATCTCAGCAGGAATTTTTAGAATCTAAATTTTGGGCTAGGACACCTATGTTGCAGTACAGAGATGTCTTAGTTTTGTAATTGTGCTTCCAGTCAGCTTTACTCTTCAGGATTCCTAGTTAAGCTTGAAAATACTTCCTCAGTGTAAGCAAGGGATATCAGAAGTCACTTTTCAGACATTGGTACCATATCATGGATCACATAATGGAGCTGAGTTGCTGGTAACAGGTGATAATACTCACAGATACTGGCTATCCCTATCTGTACCAGCTTTTCAAAGTAGAAAAGGCAGTCATGAGTGAGAGAGAAGGAAACACTGGCAAGTGAGAGGAGGAATGATGTTGGAGCAGCAGTGGTATAGCTACAGCTGGCTGTGCTAAAAAAGTTGTATGAAGCTGGCTATTGCAACTCAGTAGCCTGATTCTGCCAACAGACACAAAGCGGCTGTGTACAAGACAGAGCTTTTGATCCACACTCTGTGTGTGTGTGTGTGTGTGTGTATGCGTGCACAGTATATAAAATATATGTCCATGTATCCACTCTTCTTCTAGCACATAGTTTACATAGTTTTTAAGGTTATTCATAGAAGCTTCTAAATCACTGATTCAATTTTTCAAATAGCTCACTCAAACCACATCCCCACAGGTATGTGTGTTTAGAGTTACAAAAACATTTTGCCCTATACATGTTTTTATATTTTGTATAATTACAGCATATTTATCTGAAGTATTTCGCAAGTATAGTTTTGTGTAATACTGGTAGGAGATTAAGTAATAGCTGCTTACTAGTACTATTGCACAAGAACATCAAATGTAATAATGATGTTCTGAGATTTGAGGTACCAAGCATGCTTTTGGCTGCTTTACTCCTGTGACCTTTATGCTCTTCTGGTTAATACAGCAGTCCTGTAATGATGCACATGTTTTCCTTTACACAAATGCCAGTAACCACTTGAGCAGGGCACTTGATTCCAGTTTTGATGGGTGGTGCCTGTAATGGACAACGGTAGTGTATCCAAGCCAAGTTGGCTATCTTTGTGCTTTACAGTGCCAAAAACTTCAAAGCTTCTTCCTTTTAGAACTCTAAAGCAATACAAGTTTGTGTTTCTTCATATCATCAAACTTAATTATTGGCAATAAGCAAATGCTGGCAGGAGCAGCACATCACATGGCTCCGTTTCTGCTTTAGAAAAGGTCAGCATATGGCATAAACACTTTGCTGTATTATGCAGCCTTGTACTCTGATCACATAACACATGCTTGAGAAAGCATTATGCAATGTTAGACTCACTGATTAATGACTGCTTGCACAAGAAGTTTTTCATTACCCTGAATGCTAGCATCCTGGGAATGATTAACTTTGTGACATAACTCTCATCACATAAATATGGAAGATTCAAACATAGCCTCAAAATAATGTGTTTCAGAAATAACTGAACACTTTCCTGCTTAGTACTGTGTACAGTATTTGATTAACAACTGCTTTAAACCTTCAGAGTTGAATAGAAAAGCCTATTTGTGAGAACTGAAAACAAGATTTATTACTGGGGTTTAAAGTTTTACCCAAGATGAATTTTTGCACACAGCAGCATCTCATTTGCAATGTTTTTTCTCTGCTTGTGTAAGTTTGAATTTCCTGAGAAAAATCTGTGCCAACTATTTTCAGTTCAGCCAGTGAGTTAAACAGAACAAGTCGAATCTAGCCCTTATTCAGACCAGCAACTGCTGGTGTATGTAAAATGACTCAGTCCAGTGTGTTCAGTTGTACAGTACATACAGTTGTATGCTTAAATCAGCATAGTGATAGCTCATTAAATTCACAATAATTGCCAGTGTTTCTGCAGCCAGAGTTAGAAAGCAAAATGTGGTCCCAAATTAAGTGTCTTGCAAACTTACAGCCTGAACATTGCTACACATTCATATTTAACATTTTCATATTCTATTGATTAATCATTCCATTTTCAAATTATGCAGATTCCTGTGTTAAAAAGCATGACAGTACATCACTCATATTATCATCTTCAGGATGTACAGAAGAGGAAAAGCCTATAAAAAGAAATGTTCCTTACCATATTCCCTCACATATGAAGATTCATCCCTGTTTTTGAAGTAATTGCTACAAGCTATCTATGTTTCAACAGCTTTATTAAGGAGAAAGTCGGTTTGCCTGCTTGGAAATTCAAGATCAGTGTTCACAAGGAAATATCTATATTAAACTCCCACTTACTAATTTGCCTTTAAATGTCAGACTAAAAAAAAAAAAAGGAGACATCTGCTTTTTTATGATTCTCTC